TCCTGGTCTCTCTTTCTCTCTCCTCTACACCTCTTTCTCCTGGTCTCTCTCTCTCTCCTCCTCTTTCCCCTGTTCTCTCTCCCCTCTACACCTCTGTGTCATGGTCTCTGTCTCTCTTTCTCCTCTTTCTGCTGGTCTTATGTCAAGTGTTTATGGACTAATAATAATCATACAAGTTTTTGTCACAATGGCTCTTATGCAAATGGGCTGGATTATTTGCTTTTTGTCTGAGATGTGGAAATGGTCTCTCTTTTTTTCATTTGATAATTTGAGAATTTCAGAGTACAGTTACTATTCTAAAATCAAAGAAATACATGACGGTACTTGATCACGTAAATTAGACTTTAAACTGCACATTATTAGTGAGAAAAATAGGAAAAATCGCTCTCATAGTGTGTGTATGTGTCATTTTTTTCTCTAGTAAGTGACAGAGAAAGCAGAACAAGCACTGAAAGAAGAATAAAGTTGTTTTCAATCCGTCTTTACTCTAAAATGTATTTACAACTCTGTGTGAAAGTATTCTAAGTATTCAGAATACAGTACTCTGATTGGATTATGTATCAGAATATGTTACAAAATACATTTTAATGGAGGTATTCAGTATTCTGTAACTAAATACATTTTCTAAGTATTCTTCATAGCACTGTATATGAGTGTACATGATGGAAAAATACAGAATGATACTTGGACTTATATATGCACAATGTACCTTGCGTGTGTAATTGTGCATGTACAGCAACTGATTTTCCAGACAGAGATCATGGCTAATTGCTATTGTTAAAACTGCACATTAACAGTGTCTGTGGAGGCTTCAATAATGTAAGAGAGAAGAAGTGAGGAACGGAAGCAGAACTTGTAGCTACCAGTGTATAATCAATAACCTGAAACAAGTAAGCACACGTGTTATAAAAAACACCTTTGAACAGCCTTAAGTATATTGTCAGTCATATTGTTACTGTAAAATGTATCTTTTATTTATTTTATTTATTTTAGGCCATATCACCCTGTACTACTTGCAAATTTCTGATTCTATGTAAAGGTCATATTATGGAAATTTGGATATGGTTATCTCATCAAAAACATACCCAAAGTTGTTTTTTGTTTCATTCACATGTTTGAATAACCCTTTATTCTTAGTCTGTTTACTTCTCCAAAGCTCAAAATGCTCAGTTCCACAAACAGCTACCTCTTATCTTTTGTTTAGTAAAGACTGGAAATTCCGAGGCTGAAATGATTCAAATGATTCTTGTGAAGGTGTATGCAGTTTAAAAACACAGTGGAGTAGTAATGCTAGTTAAAAACAGTATTAACAAATGACATCACAAGGTGGAACAGAGTGTTTTCTGTTAGAGAGAGGAACCCAGTCTAATATGCAAGATTTGTGTGTTAAACGTGTGACTGAAACAAAACACAACTCCAGGTATGTTTGTAATGAGGAAACAATATTATAGCATAGATAGGATAATATGGGGCCTGTAAAATATGACTCTGTACTATAAATGATTGTATTTCTTTGTATTGAAACGTATGCAATACAATCTCTGATGTTATCATGTGTGTCTCTGTGTTGTGTCCCTGACCTCACTAGGGAGACTGTGTGTGAGACACTTTATATGTCACAGGGGCATTAGAGGTAAGCCGATCCCACTGACGGTTACAATATCCCCCCACAGGTCTGAACTTTACAGCTTATTTTCATAGCTGCTACGGCTTAAAATGTTTGCACTTGTGGCAGCCACTTTTGTCCATCCCTTGGTGTACGTGACCGGATATACCCCCTCAGACTGGGACAGCTGATTTACAGGACTACACAGGCATACAAATCTACTGAAATCTTTTTTTAAAAATGTGATTTGAATGGCGATTTAAATATATAATTAGGTATTGTATTGTGCTGTAAACAAAATATCCTAAATTATCTTATCTGAAGGGCCTATATTTACACTTTTTAAATCTATGTTATAATGTTGTTTCCTCATCACAAACATACCTGGAGTTGTGTTTTGTTTCAGTCACACGTTTAACACACAAATCTTGCATATTTAGGCTGAGTCCTTCTCTCAAACGGAGACATTTTGTTTCACCTTGTGATGTCATGTGGTCATACAGGAAGTGCACACTGTGTTTTTAAACTCTATACACCTTCACTAAAATCAGATGGGTAATTTCAGCCATAATAAATATAAAGTTATATGTAGCTGCTAACTTCAAAACTACCACTACATGACATCACAAATTGGAACAGAGCATTTTTAGAAAGAACAAAATGTGGCTGTTTGCTGCAGGTGTTCCAATCAGTGGGAGCAGGTAGAGGGTGCTCTCGGAAAAAGGATCAAAACTAAAACACAACGAACTCCAGGCACTCCAAATAAGTAGAAAAAGTAAAAAAAATCGCACGAGGAAAAATATAGTTAAAAGGCCTTTATTTGAATGGCCAAAGCCAACATGTTTCGACCTTAACTGGTTTTCATCAGGGCTTAGTAGAGCATTTTTAGCTTTGGAGATGTACACAGACTAATAATAAAAGATTACTCAAACTCAAACATGTGTGAATGAAACAAAACACAAGTTTAGGTATGTTTTGGATGAGGTAACAACATTCTAACATGGCTACACGCTCACAAGAGTAGGACCTATAAGACTTATATAACTAGGTATAATTAGATATTATATTGTCCTTTACCGAAAACAAAATATCCTAAAAAATTCTACTTTAAACAAAATCTACATTATTTTAGACTCAAGCTAGTTCCCTTTTGTAATAATAAGAGTACAAATAACAACTGAAAACCCATTTATTTGATAGGGCTGCAGTAAATCCAGAGCACAGGTCTCCAGTCGCTGGTCACAGTCTCCCTCAGACAGATGAGAGTGCTGGAGCCTTATTTGTTTGTGTAGATGTATTGTTCTGGTGACACCCACAGACCCACTTGGCGTATTAGAAACAATGTAACGTGTCACTGAGCTCAGAATAACCAGCCTGTTCTGTAAACCAATAGTGTTTTCCACCTCAGTGTTAAACAAGTCGGGACAGATAAGATACAAAAGACCTAAGTTTTTCAAGACAGACAAACATCTCAATGTAACAGCGAAATCTGGTTATGCCGGGTTTGTTTACCAGATGACAGGATTATGCAAAACTCACATTACAGCTGTCAAATTAGCAAAAATAACTCACACTGGAATTAGCATGAGAAAAATGTGTTTACTTACAGGGGAAATATTTTCAGTTAAACCATAACCATTAGCCATGTTTCAGCTTTAGCAGACAGTGACTAGTATTTCAAAAGTATTAATAAAACTGTAGTAGCTGTTAACTAAATGTGATTTGAAAATGTTAATACTGCTTCACTATAAATTCAATTACTGACGTTATTGTGATTATGCATTGTTGCTGCTTGAAAAATGAATTTCCTTCCTAGGAAAATAAAGTAATATCTATTAATCTACTGTGTGTGAAAAAAATATAATAACAGTGGTTTAATGGTGTGCACCCTGAACATATATCTTCAAGGTTTTTGCTTCATTCACATTAAAGGGCTTATATTACACAAAATTCATGTAAACTTTCAGTCATGTTAGAATATTGATATCTCATCAAAAACATACCTGGAGTTGTGTTTTGTTTCATTTAGACATGTCTGAATAACCTTGATTTATTCACCTGTCTACATTTCCAAAGCTCAAAATGCTCTGTCCCACCTTGTGATGAAGTATTCAAGTTCACAGCTACCTTTTACCTTTTATTCAGAAGAGATTGGCAATTCCAGGGCTGAAATTATCCAAATGATTTTAGTGAAGGTGTTTGGAGTTTAGAAACAGTAAAGCACTTCCTGTATTACAACATGACATCAAAAGGATTTGTGTTAAATGTGTGTGAATAAAACAAAGCACAACTCCAGGTTTTTGATGAAGAAACATTATAACATAGATCAGAAAATAAAAAAATATGGGCATTTTAATCTATTTTATATGGTGAGATCTTCTTCTTCGAAGCAAACATAGACTCCCCACATGGAAACAATTTAAAACCAGAAATTACTCTTATAACCATCATACATACCAGGGAAGGGCATTCAATGAAATTTTCTTAATCGATCGTCGGGAGAATTGATGATCGATTTTCGATTAATGTTTTTATATTAAAAGTATCATCTTTACTACTATTACTAATTTGCATAAATAAACACAACTTTACAACATAAACCATAATCACTATAGAGCCACATAAGCCTGTTTGAGCTTTGCGCAAGTCTTACAGAAACAAAACTTAAAACCGCATGGCTAATTTGCATAAAAAACAAAACCTCTTGTGTGCTGATGTGGTCAGCTTCTATAGAACTAAAGGACACAACTCAGTGGAATATAGGTGTTCTTTTAGTGACAGAGGGATGTTGATGATGATGGTGAGTCTGTTCTGTGTGTATTTTGCGTTGGAGATGGTTCATGTTTTCAGACATCACCGGGATACTGCGTATACATGCACCATGACGAAACTGGGACGCTGATGTGCATGTAAACGCACTCACTGAGTGGTGCAATGATCTCCAAGGAGGTGCCAGAGCCCAAACGTGGGACGGTGAGGCTGCAACTCCAGTGTTTGTGCTGTCAGATGCAGCTTCGTCTCTATGCACAGCAACTTACATTTGGTTTATCAATTAAAAATTAACATAATCAACGAAATTCTTAATGATCAATTATCAATTATTCGACTAATCATGCCCATCCCTAATACATACTGTACATTACATCTATATATTAGCACCAGCTTCATAATAGCCATGATGCTGATTATTCTCATTCAGATATCATTCCCTTTTGCATGATGTACTAGACATCAAATTCCCTTCTCAATGCAGCTCTTTACGAACAATGCCTCAGGTGATCTCCAAGCACTGTCCCCAACTCTTCTATGCTTTATACAGTACATAATACAAGTCAGTAAAGTCTGCAGTATTTTGTCTAGTGTATTTCGCAAACAGAAAAGTTTCTAGTTGTACCTGGAAGTGAAGGTCCTCTTCTTCTTTTGAGAGGACACTTTCAAGCTGTGAGACATCTGCGACGTCTCTGCCTCCAGCGTCATCTTTGTGGTTTCCATAGTAACGTCCCAGCGGGTACCTGCACGATGAAGACATGTGAGCGAGCATAACAGCAGCCAATCAGAGCGAAGCTGACAGTAACCTTGGTCATAAACAAACGCGCAGAAGAAGAAAGTCTGCTCTCCTGTCTCGAACAGCTCAAGGCTATGGTATCAGATGAGTTTATCAATTCAATAAGAAGCTATTCAGACATAGGTAATTACAGAGCTGGATGTATGGACAGTTTCAACATTTACATTTTATTTTTATTTATTTATTAGCTCAAGGACTGCAACTAGATATAGTGTCTTAAGGACTTGTCTTTATGTTTTTCAATCAAAAAGTGGTGAGCAATGTTAGAAAAACAAGGGGTTTGTTTGTGCTGTTTTAATTTTTTTGCCCTTTAACACAAAAGCAGGTGATCAACAGAAAATTCTCCATGTTAGAAAAACAAGGGCTTCATGCTGTGTTAATTTTCAGAACAAATGGGGTTTAGTGGGAAAAATGTTTTGTCTATTATTTAGTGAAATAATTGTGTTTAGTTTAAGTTGACAAAATTCAGTTTCAATTAGAAACTTGGATCGTGTCTCCACATGTACCTTCTGTTCAATTTTGGATTCATTTTCAACCATATTTGATGAAAATATTGAGGCAATCTTCATGAGAAATAGGAAATGATTGATCCAGATTTTATAATTTTTATCAAAAGCAAATAAAATGCCTTTCTACAAAAAAAAAAATAAAAAAATACACTGGCAAACTATAAATTATTTGCCATTTAAAACTAAACCAGTCTCTTCTTTTTTGTCTGAGCTCTGACCTGTCGCACTTAAAGGTTGTATGGAGGATTTTTTTTTTTTAGTTTCAAATTGTCATTGAAAGTTTAAAATACCGTTACAGAGACGCAGCAGCCTTGTAATTATGATAACCGAAAAAAAAAAAAAAGAATGAAAATCTATCAACTGTGGACGTAATGAGGCCAGATAAACATCAGCCAATAGAAAACGAGGCTGCCTCTTTATCTATTGGCTGTTAGGTCGTCAATCAAACTCCCTACATTTTTTGTGCAACTGACTCTTCGGCGCTCGGGGATTTCGTGGTTTATGCAGCGGTTCTTTGAGGCTTTTTCAAGCTGTAGCTTCCTTGCAATTCGCACAAAGTTTGTCGCGATGGCGGACGAGAATCCACGACAAGTTCGCCGCAAAAGAAAGTCCGAAGGGTCTAAAAACTGACGCGTTGGTCGTTGAAATATTTCTAAACAGGAAACTTCAACTGTAATTCTGAACATGCACTGGATGAAAACAAACGTGATTTCTAGAGTAAAGAGGCGGAAGGAGGAGATGTTTCTACTGAGGCTGTGGAGGAGGAAGGTGGTGTCACACATGCACAACATTTGAAAAAGAACTGTCGCTGTATTTCTTTTCCCGTAAAAAATCCTCTATACAACCTTTAAGTCTACGGCTTCAATGAGATGTACTTATCAATTTAATAAAAAGCAATTCAACTACAGGTAAATGCAGAGTTGGATGTATGCACAGTATTTCAACATTTTATTTGGCACAAGGACTGCAATTGTTTTTCAATCAAAAACTGGTGATCAACAGAAAATACACCATGTTAGACTAGCAATTCATGCTGTATTAATGGGAGTTTAGTGGGAAAAATATTTCTGTCTTTTATTTAGTAAAATAATTATATTTAGTTTAATGACAAAATTCTGTTTCAATTAGAAACTTGGATTTTGTCTCCATGCGTACCTTCTGTTCAATTGTGGTTCATTTTCTACCATATTTGAGGAAAATATCAAGGTCATCTTAATTAAAGAAATAGGCAATGCAAAGGAAATTGAAAACACATATTACTTAGAGCTTGGCCATATAAACAGTATTTTTTTTCCACATCTAGTTCGATGCAGATTTTATACATTTCTTTTTTTTTTGTCTTAATGAAAAACAAATACAATGCCTTTCCATACTCAACATAAACAATACTGATAAACTTTGAATTATTTACCATTTAACACACACACACACACACACAATTAACACAGTAAGATCCCTTCCTTCAAAAGTCATTTACAGATTGGCTGTGGACTTCTTGATTAAAAAGAGTCATATAATGATATATATGATAAGAAATGATCAAAGCTTGATTTTGATTAAAAATTGAGTCATTGCACAGCTAGTACTTGACAAAATTAACTGTAGAGCCAGGTACATTTTTTTTAGTAAATGATAGCAGTTAAAGGTCATATATTAGGCAAAATTGACACTTGTGAACTTTAAGCCATTTTATAATGTTCTTACCTCATCAAAAACATAATTGGAGTTGTGCTTTGTTTCATTCACACATGTTTGAGTAACTTTACTATTAGTCTGTCTAGCTCAAAATGCTCCACCTTGTGATGTCATTTTTCAAGCGAACAGCTATCTTTTACCTTTTTGTTCAGAAGACATTGGCAATTCCATGGCTGAAATAATCCAAATGATTCTAGGTGTATGGAGTTTAAACACAGAGAGGAGCGCTTCCTCTAATTACCGCATGACATCACAAGGTGGAAGAGTATTTTCAGTCTGAGAGAAGAACACAGCCTAAATGTCCAAGATTTGTTTGTAAAACATGCGTGAATGAATCAAAAGACAACTCCAGGTATGTTTTGTTCAAAACTCCACTAGAATTGTTTCAACATTTTAAATCGCTCCTAATGTCAAAAAAACCCCAAACAACTAATGTATGCATTTTAGGTGTATCCAAACTGTACTTTTCATTAGTCATTATTCTAATTTATGGACCCATTCCCCATCCCTCTGCTGAGTTACAGCAAAATGCTAATTTCATTTTCCCCAAGCTCACGCTGAGATGTTTGCTCATCAATCATAAGTCCAAACATATTGAGTCCACTGTCATTGACGACGGGGAAAAAACTGCAGATATTCAGATTTATAGATTTCCTCCACTCTTTGTGCACCAATAATAATTCATCAGATGAGGCTGGCCATTCGGCTGCCCATTCCGGTTGTCATTAATCATGAATCAGCTCTGGGGAAGTCAGTGCACAGATTCAGAACCAAGCCTGCTCTGAGTGATGGCTCCATTCACCCACTCCCAACAGCCAACTCATACTGTGCAGTGACATCATGCTCGGGGTGTATCTCTGTGTTTTTCTATGGCACAATGTTTATCAGTTACCGTGGTGACACAATGCATACAAATATAGCAATAACTACAAAAAAGTTTTGAAACTGTGCAAAAACTCAAGAAAAAATACAAAATGAATTTAAGCAGCACATTTTCAGGAGCTTGTGATCAATGTAAATGTTTATGGCCTTGTTCAGGAGTTTGATTTTCAACAAAAAGGTGAGAGTGACTAACAGAAAAACTGCAGTTCCAGCTAAACCAGTTCTTTCTGATCAGATTGTGTTAAAACAAAACTCAGATTAAAGTCTAAAAAGTGTCAGACAGAGCATTCCTACAGTTAGCATCACACCTCCAGGGAATGTTGATGACATCAGCTGCAAAGTACATGAATATTCTCAGAAGTCTATTGAGTAGTGTTGCTCATATTGATTACACATACATCAGACACACTGAATTCTTTACCCTTCACACAAAGAGTAGAGCTTTGAAGTTGAATTCAAGAATATTAATCAGTAACTATGCTAATGCAGCTACCATCGGGGTCCCCTGCCTGTTCCGACATACCGTCATTACGACATGTCCCTACTTAGACGTGCTGGTATTCAGACACCTCTTAGTATCACTATACCAACACGTCATATGTGTGTTTTGGGCTGTGAGAGTGTCATCTCATTGAGCTAGCGCAATGAACTTGATTGGTTATTTATTTTAGGCTATAGAGTGTTCTCCACAGACAGTCTACATGATGAAATGAATGAAGCACAAAGGGCCCATGCAGTCTCTATTTTAGATTAGATATTTTCCCGAAGGCTGGCTTATGCTCATTTTTTAAAATGAAAGTCTCTTTCCCACGGCTATCAGTTAGGACATTTCCCCACTGTCCGATAACCTATGTGGCCGAAGTATTCTCGGATCAAGTGTTTTACACCGGTCCAAGCATTTTATGATATATGGGAGCACAAAGTATAATAGACTATCACATTAATATTACTCATGTTGGAAAAGCCGAATGTTTGAAAAATAGTAAAGTGCCACTACTCTGACAATGAAAAATAAAAAGTGGAAGTAGTTGGATGCTTGAAAAATAATGTTTTTGCCGCTGCTCTGACAATTAGAAGTCAATGTCTAAAAAGCAGCATATCGGAATAGCAGCGTGTAACCACTAACAACCCCAGCTACGAGTCACTGTCTTCACTAACTAGCTTGAGTAACAGAGCTTCAGATGGAGCAGAGCCTTCAGTTAGCACCACAACCCCAGGAAATGATGATGATATCAGCTGCAAAGTATCAATAAGTTACCTGTTAGCATCACAGTGTCAAGTACCCTCCTCTAGCTGGCCTCTGCCTCACTGATGTCCTGGAGAGCCCAAGCTAACAAGCTCAAGGCTAATAGGCTAATAACCAGGGCAGCTGCGTTTCCTGTTTGCTGAGTTATTCTGCTTTAGACCGGGTTTGTTTGAACACGCAAAGGTCAAACACTGGTACGCCAACAGTGATCCAGCCTGTGGGTTTACTCAAGAGTGAATGCAGAAAAAAAATCTCTATACTCTGCATTTTAAAGGGCTCATATTACACTATTTTCTAATCCACTGTATGTTATAATGTTGTTTCCTCATTGCAAACATACCTGGATTTGTGTTTTGTTTCATTCACGCATGTCTAACACATAAACCCTGCATATTTAGACCGAGTCCTACTCTCAAATGGAAAATGCTGTTCTAATTTGTAATGCCATGTTGTAATACAGGAAGTGCTCCACTGTGTTTTTAAACTGCATACACCTTTAATAGAATCATTTGGTCTCCAACATGGAGCTCGCCCCTACCAAGCAGCTTGCCCAGGGATTTCTGAATTATACATATTGCGCTGAATAACTCTAATTTGATTGATTAAATGTTTATTTCCTTTGTAAATCCATCATTTAGATGCCTATTTTTGTGCACTGATAACTGGATAATGGGTTATGTTTTATAGACATCTAAATGTACCTCATTTTTGGCTTACCATGGCTCTTATATTTACAAATTTTCTGGTGAGAGTATCACTCTGGCATTTTCATTGCTCACAGGAGGAAAAAGGTTAGAGACCCTTGATCTCGATCATTTCAGTCTCGGAATTGCCAATTTCTACTGAACAAAAGTAAAAGGGAGGTGTTAACTTGAAAACTACCGCTTCATGACATCACAAGGTGGAACAAAGCATTTTAAGATTTGGAGAAGTAGACAGACATGTGTGAATGAAACAGAACACAACCCCAGGTATGTTTTTAAGGAGGTAACAACATTTTAACATGGCTAAAAACACAATAGTCACTTCTGTGTAATGCAGGACGTTTAAGTCAGACTTAATCTTTTCTTTCATTAAAGTTTCATTTAGCAGCAATTCACTACAATCAGAAGACCGGCACAACAGCAGTCCTTGAAAGAAGATACTCGGCATGTGGTCTGTGAGTGGAGCCCCTGGAGAGTAATTAAAAAGCACATTCTCCGAGGCCAACAGTAGCGGCTGATTAAGAAGTTCAACTGTGGTGGAATTACATTGGAAAGTGAGAGAGAGATTTGATAAGGTTAAAGTTTAATGAATTTTAATAGATAGTTTTCTTTACTGACTGCTCTTCACTCACTTCATCTTCAAGGACAAAAAAAGAGATTAGCTCCAATTCAAAATCAAACGAGAAACATTTAGAGATGACCAATGCGTTCAGGCAAATTGAATATACAGATAGTGGGTTTAAGCATGCCAAGGCTATTAAATGTGCACTATGTAACTTTCTTGTTGGAGGTCCGTCACCTGCTTGTTTCTGTGGATATGTCTTTGGTCTGCCTGGAATGTTCCACAGTATGACATTAAACAGCTCTACCTTACATTTATTCAATTAAAGGTGGTATTACAGCTCAAAAACACCCAGTAAAACACACATTCTGACTGTGAGCGGGGTCACCTGTCCACAAATCTGACCTGTAACTTGGTCTAGTTTAGTCTCCATGAAGACAAAAAGGTTTTATAGCATACTGTGAAATATTCCAGACAAATCAATAAAGTAAACTTTTCTAGAAAATTTTCATGGAGACCAAACCAGACCAAGTTACAGGTCAGATCTGTGGAAAGGCGACCCCACTCACAGTCATAATGTCTGTTTTCTTGATATTTTTGAGCAGTAAAACCACCTGTAATTGAATAAATCTAAGGTAGACCTGTTTAATGTCATACAGTGGAACATTCCAGGATCAGCAACAGCGTATCCATAGAAACAAGCAGGTGATGGACCCCCAACCTAAAAGCTACAGTGCACCTTCAAAGTCTATGGGAAAAATGAATGGAAAATGGTCGCTGTTGAGCTCCGTCAGGTTATATTATAATAACAATAGGCAAAAATATAAGTGGTAATAATAAATTCTAATAATTTGCAAAAATAGCAAGAGACTTGTGTCAGAAAAGGTATAATTATATAAATGTATATGTACAAGTCAAGTTAAATAAATAATAAAAAAAAATAAAAAAAGACAAATAAATCTCAGCTAAATACAAGAGGTCGTAAGGAGAAACAGTGCAAAGATGATATGATGATCAACAGGACATAGGTTATCTGTTACATAAGGGTGAGTTGTACAGTTGTATGGTATGAATGTAGACCTGCACCTAAAAGTACAGAAAGTAGAAAATGGGACGTACTTTTGTTAGAGAAGCAGGTGAGACTCCACTAGTCCAAAACCACTCTTCTTTATCCTCTCTCTCTCTCTCTCTCGGAATGGCTGCTTCACTTCTGGATGAGCTTTCTCAGTCTGTAACGATGGCTCTCTCCACACGTCTCCTCCTGATGAAGCTATGGGGTCACCCTGGACACAAAGGCCCCTTCAGTGCCAACTATGTGGACAAAACAATACTGTCTGTAAATATAGCTCACTGACCAATCCCCATAGCATACTCTCAGCCCACAAATCTGTATCACTAAATGAGCTCAGTAAACCAGGCACAGATCATGAGCCTGCGCTCAGAGAGACAGCAGTGCAGTGGTGGAAGAAGTAGTCAGTTTTGTCACTTAAATAAAAGTACAGATATCGGAGAAAAAAAACTCAAGTAAAATCATCACATGAAAAGTATTAAAGTACTTGTTTAAAATTGAGCTTAAAGAGTAAACAGTAATCTATTGAAAATATTTATAATGATAAAGCATCAAATGTTATGATTTTAATAACTGATTTGGGAATTTTTTTTAGCTGCTTTAATTTGCATATTTTTGTTTTCTCAAACTACAAACATGTTAAAAATAAACCCTCAGTCTTTTCAGCAGGTCTCCAACACTTTATATTTATGTATTCTTTTACTTTTCAGTAAAAGTATATCAAAAATGTGGTGGAGTACAGTACAGAGTAGTATACAGTATCCACTTTAAAATATACTTAAATAGGTTATATTACACTATTTTCTGATCTATGTTATAATGTTTTTTCCTCATCACAAACATACCTAAAGTTGTGTTTAGTTTCATTCATACATGTTTAACACACAAATCTTCCATTATTTAGGCTGAATTCTTCTCTCAAATGGAAAACACTCTGTTCCACCTTGTGATGTCATGTGGCAATACAGAAGTTTTCCACTGTGTTTTTAAACTGCACACACTTTCATTAGAATCATTTGGATAATTTCAACCCTTGAGATACCATTCTTGACTAACTTTACTCAAATTTTCGCTTCATGACATCACAAGGTGGAACAGAGCATTTTGAGCTTTGAAGATGTAGACAGGGTAATAATAAATGGTTACTCAAACATGGGAGAATGAAACAAAACAACTCCAGGTATGGCTTTGATGAGGTAGTAACATTTTAACATGGCTTAAAGTTCACAAGGGTCACTGTGTGCAATTTCAGACCTTTAAAAAGAGTCATCAAAGTGTGTAGTAAAAAAAGAAATGAAAGAAATGCTGTAGTTAACCATAAACTATAAACCATTTGTCTGGGTCATTAAGGTCATACTTCTAAGGATACATTTGTCCAGGATTAGTCATGTTAGTCATGGTCTAATAGAATCTTTTGTAGACATCACTAAATCAACAAATTGTTTGGGTAGTGTATTACAAATTATTACAGGGCCTGCCACCAGATGAGTCCCAGTCCAGATCTTCCCTGGTTTACAGCTCCAGATCAGTGTCCACCAGGCTGCTGAGGTGCAAGAAGAAGACAGCAAAAACATTTCCTGAAGCTGGTGTTGGTATTCAAGAGTCCACAGAAGTACGTCACATTTGCTTACTTGGGGTCCACTTTGTCATGTCATGTGGTAGAACAGGAAGTGCTCCACTGTGTTCATAAAATCATTTTTGGATAATTTCAGCCCTGGAATTGCCAATCTCTTAAACTAAAGGTAAAATATAGCTGTTAAGTTTAAAGCTACAGCTTCATGAAATCACAAGGTGTAACAGAGCATTTTGAGCTTTGGAAATGTGGACAGATTAATAATAAAGGAATACTCAAACATTTGTGAATGAAGCAAAGCACAACCCCAGGTATGTTTTTGATGAGTTAACAGCATTATAACATGGTTTAAAGCTTACAAGAATCCATTTTGTGTAACATAAGACCTTTAAGTAATGTACAGATTCCTAAAATATATACCGCTGGACTCCAGAGCTCCCACGACAATAAAACCCAACAACAAAAGCTGTAGCCGGAAGTGCTCTGAGAACAGAGGCACAAAGGAGCCACAAAAGTCAGCTCAATACAATGCCCTTCTAATATCAGCACCTCAGAGAAATATGAGCAAGGAGGGTGTGGAACTTCTGTTTACGTTTTGACTTAGATAAAATACAAGGGGATATTTAGAATGGATTTGATATTTTTCAGCTGAAACAAAAGAACACATTTTATAGGCAGTGAATAAGAAATTGCAGTGAACTAGTTGAGTAAGTACAAACTGGTATTTCTTGTTCCCACACAGTATCAGTTGGGTGGTTCAACAGTACCATGAATCTAGTGCAACCATAGAGAACTGGAGAAGGTGGTAGAGCCAAAAAGTTCCTAAAATATGACAGAAAGTTGTGTGCATTATTATCTAAGATCTTAACAGAGGTCAAATATATGAGGGCAGTGAAAAGCAAATTGAAAAAAAAAAAATTAAAAAGATGTTACCGATACTGGTATACTGAAAAATTATAATAAAATGGATAGCGCAAATGTTTTAACTTTTATTTATACAAATGTGCTTTGTCACAGGTGCACCATTCCCTACTCAACATTGCACACTTTAGTCTCTGGTGAAGTGGCCACTCCATACCCGCAGACAAACCCACTGGTTACTGTTCATTTATAAATGTTTAGTTGGTAAAACTCCGTCCTTCCTCAGCTCACATCCACAGCTCCAGACGCACACTTGATCTCCAACAGATACATAACCCTGGTTGTTCCTAAAGCCCACACAGCTTTGGGCCAGTTCTTCATTTCAATTTTCTGCAGCAAGTGACTGGAACCATCTTCAACATACTTTAAAACAATTCGTTTTTACCTCTGTTGACTTTTAAAAAATTTTAATCCAGAGTATTTTACAGGATAATTGCACACATTTTTAAAAGTTTATATCTTTAATCTGCAAATGTTTCACAGTCTTATATCTCTATTCACTGTTTCATGTTGTAGTTAATGTGTGAGTGTTTTCTGTTTGTGCTTCTGTTTTATTCTGCCTCTTGGCCAGATTGTCATAGTAAATAAGAAGGTGTTCTCAACTGATTTACCTGGTAAAATATTAAATAAATAAATAAATACAATTTCTTCTGGCATTACTTCAGAGAAAAATAATAGACACATGACACTTTTTTAGTTTTGCCTTTTTTGGGTTTAAGGAAGTAAATTCTCTTTTCAGTCTCTCCCCTGGTATTGGTCGATATCAAAAATCAGCAGATACATAAAGCCATGGTATCATATTCGGTACTGGAACTGAAAAAGCTGGATCGTGCATTCCTATTTAAAGGTGCAATGCGTCATTTTCCTGGTGGAGGGTCAGTCAACTGCTTGTTTCCATGGAGATATCTTTGTTTTGCCTGGAATTTTCCACAGCATGGCATTAAACATGTCCATGTCCAAAGAAGCAAGCAAGTGATGCTACAAGGCCAAGTTACAAGTCAGGTCCCTGGAGAGGTGACTCCTTTATAAATGAGAATGCAGTAAGGCATTTTTGAACGATAAAATGCGATGCAATTAACTACTAATTACCAGTTAACTCCTTTTAGTCACATCATTAACTCCAATTATAAAACTAGGCAAAACATAACAAGAATTTTGATGGCAGTTTCATAGTCTGTGTAGTTGTGTGTGGAAATCATTTTTGGAATAACTTCAGAAAGTATCCAGAAGTTTTTCATCAGAATTTTGAGAAAACCCAGAAATATGTGGACAGGACTCAAAATTCAAAACTGTAAAATCCATCTTGCATTGGCTTTTAATCATTTATAATTGGAAAAAACATTTGAAATTCATTTATTTAAAAATGCAACCGCAATAGTTGGCATAGCTTGTAGCGATCTTTGCTTGTTATTATTTTCGCCTATATCAATGATTTTTCCAGGAAGCTTCACAATTTCTTCTGTTGCCATGGCAGCATGTTTATTTCTGAAATTGCAAGTCCACTGGCGAGGGGTGCACCGGGACTGTGAGGACGGACGGAATCAGTCAACATCACGAGGGGGGCGGGGGAGGAGGGATATTTATACCCCTTTAGACAGGGTTGCACCTGCCTCTGGAATATGGCAAACAATACAAGCAGCGTCTGCCAGCACAACTCCACAAATCACACATGAGTGACGCACTAAGAATAACTAACAGCTGAGCCCCACCTTCACTAACCTCTCCGTTTGTGAAACTAAACTGGTAATGTGAGTTTTAAATAAGGCTGGGAAATTAATTATGTTTTAATAAAGATTGAGATTCAGAAAAGATGTGGTTTTGAGTGGAGTTCAGGCTTTGGAACACATTTGAGAGTTTTTATGTGTAAATGGCACCAATTAAAAGTTTCGTTTTGTTCATAAAATCAATACTGAAAGCAATTTTTAGTTAGCTTCTGAAAATAAAAAATTTAAATCGAGATTGATCAATGTGAGGGAAAAAAAATAACAGTTTTGTTTTGTTTTTTTTCCCATATTGTTCAGGCCTAGTTTTGAGCATTTGATAAATCTAGAGCCTTACGACAGGTTGGACTACTCATTTTATTAAAACACAGTTAAGATCAACATATTGAAGGTTTTACTAAAAAATACCAGTTTGGCCATTTTTTAGGTTTCACATTTTACTTCCTGGTTGGAAATCATGACATAATACTATAGGGAATTCCTATTCTATGCCATGATGTTACCTAACAACCATATTGTATGTACACTGGGCCGAAACTCCTCTAATGTGCACATATTTGACAAATAAAATTACAAGTAAACATACCCAATATAATTACAGGAAAACATACCTAAACTAATCTGATGCAATGCCATCAGTATGTTTTAGAACTCTCTACTTTCTGAAACTTTCAACATATTTTGCAACTTTTCTTCACAAACTGCTGCTTGATTTATAATAAATTTACATTTATAGCAGATGTTACTCCACCAATTTAAGTAGAAAATACAGAATCGTCGGAAAGCTGTCATACACACTTATGACCATGATGTTTGAGAAGTGAAAATTTGTACTAGAGGGGTTGAAATTTGTGAACGTGACTCCGATAGGCATTATACTGGCAGCAGACCAA